CATCTCCAGCAATATGTTTAGTAAGAAAAAAATGTTTTTGGTCATATATGTCCTCTTTAATTTTCCCTTTAATTTTCCATTTTCTAATTTGTCTAATAACCTCTTCTGCATTTTGCATACTTTTATCTATAAATGAAAGTATAATTAACTCTCTACTTTCTCCGCCTCCACCTCCACCCAGTACCTCACTCACCGCCCACAAGATTGCTAACCACTTCAAAAACAAGATTGACGCAATTCGTAGGGACATCGCCACTGCTCAGATACCCACCCCACTTAGCATTCCTCACACAAAAACCCCCTCAACACATCGCTCTCTTGACCTTGCTACTACCGAAAAGGTCAGTAAGGTTTTCTCAGAAGCCCGCCTCACCACCTGCGCCCTGGACCCTGTCCCCTCACAACTCCTACGGTCACCCTCTTCTTCTATCCTATGCTCCCTCACTCACATCTTCAATCTTTCCCTCTCCACCGGTACCTTCCCCTCCCCTCTAAAGCACGCGCACATCACTCCCATACTTAAAAAACCCTCCCTGGACCCCACGACCTGAACAACTTAAAACCCATCTCCCTACTGCCATTTACCTCTTAACTCCTAGAACGCCTAGTCTTTAATCGCATGAGCTCCCACCTCACCGACATCAACCTTCTCGACCCTTTACAGTCTGGCTTCTGCCCCCTACACTCCACTGAAACTGCCCTACTCAAACTCACCAATGACCTACTAACTGCCAAAACCAATGGCCACTATACAGTACTCCTACTTCTTGACCTCTCTGAGGCTTTTGACATGGTTGACCACCCTCTCCTCCTCAAAAAACTACACTCTCTTGGCCTCAGAGACTCCGCTCTCTCCTGGTTCTCTTCCTATCTATCGCAGCGCTCCTTCAGTGTTACCTATAATGTTGCCACCTCCTCTCCACTCCCTCTCTCTATTGGGGTCCCTCAAGGTTTTGTCCTCGGACCCCTTCTCTTCTCCATCTACACCTCCTCCCTTTGCCAATTGATAAACTCCCAAGGCTTCAATTACCATTTCTATGCTGATGACACACAAATCTATCTCTCTACCCCTCACCCACTCAGTCTCCAATAGTATAACTAGCCTAGTAAGTGACATATCGGACTGGATGTCACTCCACTTCCTCAAACTCAATCTTTCCAAAACTGAGAGCCTAGTATTCCCTCCAGCCCGTGCCCCCCCCCCCCCCCCCCCCGACCTCTCCATCAAGATCAACAACACATCATCAGTCCCACCCCTCCCGCCAGGATACTAGGTGTAATCCTAGACTCCAATCTGTCCTTTCAGCCCCAGGTCCAATCGCTGACAAACTCGTGTAGACTTCACCTCCGCAACATCTCCAAGATAGGACCGTTCCTAACCTCGGAAACCACTAAGCAACTCATTCACTCTCTTGTTATATCACGCCTCGACTACTGTAACTCTCTCCTTGTTGGCCTACCTCATCACAGGCTATCCCCACTTCAGTCCATCATGAATGCTGCTGCCAGACTCATCCACCTTACTAACCGTTCTGTATCTACCACCCCTCTCTGCCAATCCCTCCACTGGCTTCCAATTGCCCAACGGATAAAATTCAAAACACTAACACTGACGTATAAAGCCATTCATAACACTGCCCCAAAGTACATCACCGATCTTGTCTCTAAATACCACCCAAACCGTACTCTCCGCTCCTCGCGAGACCACCTAATCTCTAGCTCCCTTGTCTCCTCCTCCCATGCTTGTGGATCCATCCTCCCATGGATTTCTCCAGGGCTTCTCCCATCCTCTGGAACGCCCTACCCATATCTATCAGACTATCGCCTACTCTACTCACTTTTAGGCGCACTCTGAAAACCCATCTCTTCAGAAAAGCCTACCCTGCCCCCAGCTAATACAGGAATCCTCTACTCTTCCAATCACTCCATCCCCCACAGTTATTTACTACCTTTTGTACCACTACCCCCTCCCTCCTAGATTGTAAGCTCCAAGGAGCAGGGCCCTCTAATCCCTCTTGTATTGAACTGTATTGTTACTGTACTGTCTCCCTCCATAATGTAAAGCGCTGAGCAAACTGTCGGCGCTATATAAGTCCTGTATAATAATAAAATAATAATATAATGTTTTTAAGAAGAAGGACTACCTGTGCCTTTAGTTTCTGCTTTTTGGCCCGTAGTTATCACTTCCAAATCCAATGGTGACCCCGGACAATTTTTACCCAACCAAACATAAAGATTGCAGCTTTCTTTACAGATTAGAAACTGTGCGATCCAATGGAGTTTTCAGTTGGCAACCCTTAGAAGATGCAACTATAAAACGATGGAATCTTAAAATAAAAATGTTGTACTTTGTAAAGTATTTTATGTTTCCATATTTTCATTGAAGATTATAGAGACATAACAGGATAAGGGTATACGGTTCATCAATAAAGTATTGCAATACAGTGTAACATTGAGTATTTTACCTCACCGGTTGGCTGGGGGCTGGTAATGGTCTGTAAGACAATATCATCAGATTTATTCTAGAGAGTGTATTGAAACTTGGTGAGGTGTATGGGACGTTGGGGGATATTAAATAGGGGAGGGAAGGGGGGAGGGAAAGGGGGGGGGAGGTATAAACTGGGTAGAAGAAGAAATACCAGTCTAGGTTTGGTGGATAGTTTTGTTTGTGGTTAGGTTATCAGGGTTGTACAGAGCAATTTGAATTTTGTTGCCAGCGAGCCCATTGGGGTTTGAATTTGTGTTTAGAAGAATTGTTGAATGTAGATCTCTTTTCCATGTCACATTGGAAAGTAAGATCTGTCACCAGTGATGTGAGGGAGCGTTGGTAGTGTTCCACAATCTGGTGATGTTTATTTTGGCTGCGAAAAGTGTATGGGTAATGATAGTACGAGAATTAAGGGGAAATTTTTCAATTCCAATGTGTAGGAGTGCCAGAGAGAGATTTGGGGTAATCAGGGTTCCAGATATTTCTGAGATTAATTCGAAGACACTATTCCAAAAGGATCTAATTGATTTTCAGGACCAAAGGATGTGTAGTGTTGAGCCTACTTCACCGCATTGTCGCCAGCAGGAAGAGGAGTGTTTTGGGTAGTAAATAGAAAGTTTGACTGGGGTTAGGTACCATTGGTGGAGGATTTTCAAATACGACTCCCAGTGGGAGCTGAATCGAGTAGATTTATGGGTGATATTAAATGCTTTTTCCCATGTTCCAAGAGGATTTTTTCCCAGTTTGTCAGGGAGATTGATTGTAAAGTGAATTGTAGGTTTGTGAGGTACGTGACGTACGTGACGTCTCCACTTTCACGTACGTGAAAGTGGAGATACCTTTACCGGGGTATTGTGTTTTGGTAAAGAAGTTATAGGGGGTAATTTGGATCTTTGTGGAGTAAGGTACATTTGTTGTTTGTAGGCAGTGGGCGATTCTTAGATAGGTAAAGTATTCAGTGGAAGGGAGATTGTATTTGGTTTTGAGATTTTGGAAAGAGTATAGAGTTTGGTTTGTATAGAGGTATTGGTATTGTAATTAGGATTTGGGGTTTAAAGCGGGTGAAATGGAAGGGTTTCCATTGTGGACCATATTTTTTTTCTTGATGGATTCCACCAAAAGTATATTTGGTCAAGGAGAGTGGCATTGTAGTAAGATTTCAGGTGGGGGAGGCCTGCTCCTCCTCTGGTTGTGGGACGTATTAGAAGGTTGGTGGTGCGCCTAGGTTTTTTGGAGTTCCATAGGAAATTTGCAAGAATTGTTTGTAGTCTGGAGAAGAAGTTAGGAATCAGTATAGGGAGTGTGCGAAATATGTACAGGATTTTGGGTAGAATGTACATTTTCAGAGTCGCTACTCGTCCCAGCTTAGAGAGTTCTGAGGTGCGAAGAGTGGCAATTTCTTGGGGAATAGTTTCTAGCAGCATCTTATGGTTCGAGGTGTATAGTTGATCTGTCTGTTGTTGCGGTGAGTCTGATTCCTAGATAGGGAATACTGTTTGTTTCCCAAGAGAATGGGAATTGTTTAGTAGAATTTGGTCTTGGGATGGTGTATGAAGATTTAGTATCGAGGATTTGGGTTCGTTAAGTATGTAGTAGGAGACTGTCGAGTAAATATGGAGGTGGTTATGAATTGTTTTAAGGGATTTGTTTGGGTTGGTCACCATCAATATGATGTTGTCTGCAAATAGACTGATTTTATGTTCCGTGTTAAGGTGTTTGATGCCGGTAAATGTCGGGTCGTCTCTGAGTTTAGAAGCTAAGGGTTCGATGAGCAGTGTGAATATTATCAGGAAAAGTGGGCAGCCCTGTCTGGTACCGTTTGTAATGTCAAAAGGGTCAGATAGTGTTCCATCCGTTAGTACTCTAGCAGAGGGGTGTGAGTATAAAGATAAGATGGCTGTCAACATCCATCCTGTGATGCCAAATTTTTGTAGTGTGAGTTGTATCCAGTCAAATGCTTTTTCTGCATCTAGAGATAATAGTAAGGAAGGGCACTTGGTGAGTTCTAGATTATGAAGAAGGGATATCATTCTTCTGGTGGCGTCAGGTGCTTGACGGCCTGGAATGAATCCTACTTGGTCTGGGTGTATTGAGGATATTATGGATTTTAGGCGTTTTTGTTTGATCATTTTGGATAGTAATGAATTGGCTTTGTTTCCTAAGGAGTAAAATTTTACTTTCATTTTTTGGAGATTAAGGTCGTACTTATATGATAGAAGGGATCTTAGTTTGTTTTTATCTGTAGTGAGAGAGGAAGATATTAAGGGATCTGGGGATTTTTTGTTAATTTCTTCTTTTGATTTGATTAAGGTGAGGAGTTTGTCGATTTGTTGGTTTGTTTGTTTGGTATTACGGGAATTTAGTTGTATAAGAATACCTCTCATGTATGCCTTATAAGTGGACCATAATATGGGTATAGATATATCAGGTGTATCATTGAGTTCAAAAAATGTGTTGTGTGCACCCAATATATGTTTCTTGTGGTCTGGATTCTTCAGACCATCCACTGACCATGAATGCACTTTTTGGGCTTTTCCTTCTGATCTATCTGATGACTCTTATCACAAACCTTCTTATATTTTTCTTGGTCCTCACTGACTACCATCTTCACAACCCAATGTATTTTTTTCTTGCCAACCTGGCATTTCTGGACATGCCTTATTCATCAGTGACTGCACCAAAGATGCTCTATGATTTGGTCACAAAAAGTCGATCAATATCCATTCCTGCCTGTAAAGCCCAAGTCTTTTTCTATCTCTGCTTTGCTTGTTCAGAACTTTTCTTGCTCTTGGCTATGTCCTACGACGACCGTTACATTGCCATCTGCCGCCCCCTACATTACAAACTAATTATGTTTTGGAGGGTCTGTGCTCATATGTCCTCCATGGTCTGGATTGTAGGATGTTCTATCTCTTTGGTTTATACTTTACTTTTGCTCAGGTTGTCCTTCTGCAGAACATCTTCCATCCACAACTTCTTTTGTGACCTTCCACACTTATATCAGATTACATGTACTGACCCCTTCATAAACATGGTGGTCTTATTCTTATCATGTGCTACTTTTGGATTAGGAGCCTTTCTTTTGACCTTTCTTCCATATGTCTATATTTTCACTACCATCCTCAGAATCCGTAGTAAGACTGGAAAGAGGAAAGCATTCTCCACCTGCACATCACATATTATGGTGGTCTTCATTTTTTATGGCTCCTACATTTTTATTTACTTGGTTCCATCTTCCAGCGATATGGTAATTTTAAACAAACTGTTTTCAGTCATATCTGCCCTCATTAACTCATTGTTGAATCCTCTGATCTATAGCCTGAGGAACAAAGATCTCATGGAGGCGCTTATGAAATCTTATTATCACCTAAAATTAATTCCAGTTTGCTGCTGAAACTATAATTGTGAATATTGACACTTTTATTTTTCTAGGAAATTTTTAGATGACTAAAGATTTTAGTAATGTCTATCATAAATTGTAAAAATGTCATTTATTCATAGTTGTTCCTGATCTATGGTCATTGAAATTTTGATGCCTTGCCCACTTTCTTTTTCCTTTTCCTGCGTTTGACTTCTTTTTTACTAATTTCAAATACATTACATATCAAAAATACTTATATAGGGAAACATTAAATAAATACTTGACATGGCACAGGACGGAGGATATACAAGAAAGTGCATTCTCAAGAACCCCCAAACTCTTTTTCCTAACGACACTTTTCATTCCCCTTTAAAAAGAGACCGAAAGAAAGGAAGGTAACTCCTAGTTTTAAAATACTATTTGGTCCACCTAGGTTTATCCAGGAGAGTTCTTATATCCACCAGGCCTTTTATATCCTACCTCTCTCCCCCCACCCCCAATCATCTCTCATCCTCCACCTGTGTCCATGTTTTCTGGCTTTGCAAAAAAATCTCAATCATGCCTTCCTTCTTAAATAATACTGTGACCAGAGCAATATTTTTTTTACACACTGTGATTGCTTATACTAGTGAATTTCACTGTTATAAGCAACCAGTTTTACTGAGTGAAATGGATTCATTCAGTATTTACTACAAATGAACGCCAATCGTTGTGTACTATTGCATGAGAGTATAAAAAATACAGTGAGCGCTCCAATGGTCAGCAGCTTAACATTCAAGGAAAACACATAAAAGTCCCAAAAATATATATATAAAGAAAATGCAGCGCTGTGTGATGTTACTATATTGCGAGCAGATGTTAATAATAAATGAAACCAAAGCAAATGAATAAATGGATAAATAAATCAATAAATAAATAAATCACAGTCCAGTAATGGTGCTCGCTGATTCCCAGTGCAAAAGTTAGAAATGCGCACTAACCAGAAACATATTAATAATACGCATTGTATATGATATCATGGAGATTCCCCTCTCTTTTCTGGTCTGGTAATGGGCAGGAGCTGAAGATAGTAGAGATGAAGCGCCCTTGTGTGGCGAAATGGAGGTCCAGCAGGTCACAGAAATCCTTACAGAAGTGTGTGAAGTGGAAAATTCCTCCTCTCAAAGGCTGGTGCAGGGATCAATCTGGGTCTGCAGAAGCTGAAAAGGCTCATCGCAGAAGACACAGGAAAGAACCATAGTGTAGTAGGTTGATGAAAATGATTTTATTCAAGAAAAACAGGAGTGTTCAGGAAAAACTCACAATGGTGCCAGGTTTAATCAAATAACTGACCCTTTAAGATTAAAGATGGCCGCCGGGCCTCCACGTGGCACCGGCGGCGTAGTGTCAATGGCGTCCTGGGCTCCCTTGACGCGTTTCGTGAGCACGCACTTCTTCAGAGGTGATCTGCTATGATTGCTAACAGCGGTCACATGGTACCAGCAGCAGCTGGTACACTGATTGGTCATCTGATGTGTCTGGTGGTAACAGCGGGTGACAGATCACGCTGCAGTGTGGCCCATGGGGCAAGCACAAGGCACGTTCTGTGGAGGACATCATGTGACATCCACACATATTGACGTGTGTACTGCCGTCATTTGTCATTAGGCCAGGCAGGAACAGGATATACAGGATATATATATTTATATATATAAATACCTGTGTATGTGTATATATATATATATATATATATATATATATATATATATATATATATTTATTTTTGTTTTATTTTTTTTAAAGGATAAATTAAATGTCCATTATAAATATTAATCTTTGCATTGCTAGTAGTGGTTACTCTTCTTGCCGCAAGCACAGATCAACTCCCACCTTCAACACGGAATCATGGCTACAGTACTCATCCTTGGGATGGCAGAATATAGGCAAAAATAGCTGCCTAAATTTAGCTTCCCCTCCCCCACGCTAGTGATTGGGCATTGAAAGAGCAGCAGTATGCTGAGGTAATCTGTGTGCTTTCCCATCCAGTAAGCGAGTCCACTATCTTCCACTGTGTGCCACCCAAGTTCAATATCAGACCCTCTGAGTGTGGTATTGATTTTAAGGGAAAACACCATGCAAAATCCATGCAGGAACCCCCCCCCCCCCAAAATCTGTAGTAGACCGTTATCAGGGCATGCAGCATGGCTGGCCAGGAAAGACGGGGGGGATCCCACCTCTTGCACCATACCAGGTCACATGCCCTCAACATGGGAAAGGCCCGTTTCAAGGGTTACCCCCCCCCACACCCAGAAAAGCACCTTGTCTCATGCTGATGCCTGTTTCCCACAACCCCTGCCTGGTGGTTGGGGGGGATCGTGGGCAGGAGTTTTAACAGAATTTGGAAGCCCTCCTTAAAAATATAGGTGACCTAGATAATGGATACCCCCATGTGAATGTGTAAGGGGTACATAATAAAAAAAAGTAAATAAACACACTTGTAAAAAATGTATACAAAAATTGAAATGTCCTACAATGTAATTCCCTTGATGATCACATTGTCCAGCAATGCAGATCCTCGTTCATTGTAAAGGACTTCACCCGAGAGACCCCGCCCCTTTGCTTACATTTAGCAGAAGGGCCCAGAAGCTGTCATTTGCTGCAAATTGGTAACTGAATTAGACGTATTGGTGGGTATGTGAATTGTTTTCTTTTCAACGCGTCAACAGGTTGACAGGAGTTGTTCAACATGATTGACTAGGATCTGCATCTATGAACAATGGGATTGAAGATAGATTTACATCTTTTGACTTTTTTGGTGTTTTTTATTTTTTGACTTAAAAACTTGTTAAACATTTTGTTTAGCTACTATGCATATTTTATTTATTATAAATGATAGGAGTACTATCATCCCCTTAGTCATCCATATGGAGAGAGATATCTGGGTCCCTTTTATTTTTAATGAGGCTTTCATATTTTTAGGAAGCTGCCTACCCTCAGATCCCACAACCCCCAGGGAAAGGCAGCTTTGCCCTTACCAGCTTAGGAGCAAGGTGCTTTGCCAGGGGTGCCCCTTTGGCAAGGTACAACCCATGTTGAGGGCATAGGGCCTGGCATAGTTCTAAGGTCTGCCTTCAACTTGTCTCCTCCTTTTCCTGGCCTTCCATGCTGCATAATGCATACTCAAATGTCTAGTATAGATTTGGGGGGATTCCATGCTTTTTTGTTTTTTGAATGGGGTTCCCTATTAAAATTCATACCAAATCTAAATGAACTGGTATGGTTTTTGGGAGAACCCATTACTTTTTTCCACAAATCTCCACCCTTTGTCCAAACAGGAATGAGACATTGGTTGCTAGAACGCTGAGGACCGCCAGCTCCAACAACCAACCTGAGCAGGAATCTGTCTCCTTTAGCAGCGGTATTTCCTAATATAAAGGAGACACCTTCCTACTGCTAAATGTTTTACTTCTCGCTACATTTGGGGGTTTGGCCCAGCAGAACACCCATTTAGTTTGTCAGTTCACCAAACCTTCAGACAATCAAAATTCAGTTCAAACATTTGGACTGAACCAGCAACTTCTCCCTACATATAACAGAACAGACTGGCCTCCTGGATTGTGAAGTTTTTCTATCTGAATTTTTTAGTAGCTGGGCGAATTTCCAGCAATTTGTGATCATAGATGTTTTCCACTGATTCTGGGCGAATTTCCACCGATTTGTGATCATAGATGTTTTCCTTTTAACTGGCAATAAATGGCAACATAGAGAATAAATTGTTAATAATTTGAAAAAAAAATCTCATAGAGATTCCTGGTCTTATTTTTGTGGGTGGGTCAGACTATCCATGGTGTTGGTAAACCCTGGCATCCAGGCACATGCCCCAGACCTCTTGTTGGATGTTCCAGGCCTCAGGTCTTCAGAGACAGTTTGGCAGAGACATTCATTGACAGTTTGGTTTAAGGCTTGAAGATGCAGCCATGGAAGGTCTTTCTTCCTTGGCCTCTATACCCATCATTCCTATGCCCTCTCTTGATTCCCTTGTCATGGGTGATACATGGAAGCTACTGTACCAAGGTTATATTCTTTTTCTGAAAATGCAAATTTACTGAATTACTTTGTGCCCATCTTCAGCAATATGTTTAGTAAGAAAAAAATGTTTTTGGTCATATATGTCCTCATTTACCCTTTAATTTTCCATTTTCTAAGTTGTCTAATAACCTCTTTTTCATTTTTCATACTTTGAGTTCAGGGGTGTAACTGACCTCATTTACCGCTTGCCTAATTTTAAATTTTTTCATTTGTTTTCTATTGCCTGATGTTTAGCAAATTTCAAAGAAGTCTTCAGAAGTTCCTTTTATTACTTAAAGTTATCTGAAATATACATCGGTTTAACTGAAAGTTAAATAATTTTTCTTTGTTGTGTACACAGGCTTTTAGTGATTTGTTTTACAAAGGGGTTAATTTAGCAGAGTGGCTAAGTGGTTAGCACTTCTGTCTAGCAGCACTACAATCGTTGGTTCAAATCCCAACCATGGCACTATCTGCACAGAGTTTGCATGATCTCCCGGAGCCTGCATGGGTTTCCTCACACACTCTGTGGTGGGACAGCAGGAGTCAGGCCCAGAGTAGCACAGGTCGCCTGTGGGAGTGCTTGTTTGATGGTCCACCCAGGAGCACAGCTGATGCACCGAGATGGGGCCTGCAGGCAGGGAGCGCCTCTGTGAGGTATGCAGGTCTTCCAGAGAACACAGGATCACAGGATAACCAGTGCGAGCCAAGGTCGGGTGCCAGGTGGGGATCGGAGCAGACATAGTCAAAAGGGATAGCCGAGGTCATACACAGAGAGCAGGAGAGAAGATCCGTTAGACAAGCCGGGGTTAGGTCAGGCTTAAACAGAGCAGACAGGTCTAGGAGCAAGCCGCCGAGTCGTTAAAAGGAAATCACAAGTCAGGATAGCAAGGGAACGAAGGTACTAGGGAGCCAGAGATCAACCAGCACCTGAGAGTAGCGCAGGGCTTCCTTATAAATGCTGTTTGGTGCCAAATTTGAGCCGATGTAAACTTCTGCGGCCATGCAAGGTACTATGCAGGGGTGCCAGGTCTCCTAACACCTTTGCGGAGGACAGAGCCCAGGGACTAGATCTGTGTGCTTCTTCCCTCAGTCCCAATCTTAGACTGCAAATTTAGCCAACTCTTCCCATACCATCCAGTGGAAACTTGCTCCAGTTGCAGCACCATAGCAGATATCCAGACACAATTACTATTTTTTATTATTTTTGTAAAATTAAATTATATGTATGTACTATTTAAATATGTTTCTCAAAAGGTAGTCGCCATCTTAAAAATCTCAAACATTTAAGCCAGACCAGGCTCTAGCTAGACCATACTGGCATTGGCAGGGTATTCAAGGCTACCAACACCTCTTCAAACAAACTTGGAAAGGGACAGAATAAATTGTTGAATGCACACTGTGTGAATCTTTTGCTGGCTTGCAGAGGTGCAACAAGGGGGATGCCAGTAAACCTTGTATGGCTGCAATATTTGGTGGCTCTGCCACTTCTACCTCCTAATCACGAGAGTACAGATCTCTATAAATTAACTTTTCTGCTCCAATTCACAGGGAAAACATTGGAAACACTTCCGTTTTGTTACCTCTACTACTTAATCCTGTGTAATGGTGCTGCCCAGTATCATCATAGCCACCATCTGGAACATATCCTCCTTCTCCCTTTTCTTGTCAAAAAACCCTCATGGAATTAAAAAAGGGCCAAAGTTATAGTTTTTCTTAGGAAGACACTGTGACTTCTTTCTCTGACTTTTGGCTTGTTTTTGCTGCCATAAAATTGTGGTTCTACTGAAGAATCTATACCCACCAAAACCCACCAAAATAGGGCTGCAGGATTCATTTTTTTGAAAGATGTGTCTCCATTTTTAGGCCTCTTGGTGCAGCCTCTGGCCAATTTTTACCCATCTGTGTATGAAAGGATAATATATTTAAGAAGGGGGACTACCTGTGCCTTTAGTTTCTGCTTTTTGGCCCGTAGTTATCGCTTCCAAACCCTGGTGACCCCGGACAAGTTTTACCCAACTGAACACAAAGATTGCAGCTTTCTTTAGATTAGAAACTGTGCGATCCAATGAAGTTTTCACTTGACAACCCTTAGAAGATGCAACTACAAAATGATGGAATCTGAAAAGAAAAACGTTGTACTTTGTAAAGTATTTTAGATCATTCTGTCCACTAGCCAATAAATAAAAATAGTTGACAAAAAATATTAAAACAGTTTCAGTGGATTTTATTCACAGTTTACATTTTCATAACTACAACAAATTATAAATAAATTCTCAAGTCACAAAGGTGTTATACATTTATTCTATAGAGACCTTTATTGAGATTTTCTGTTGTGTTTTTACAAAGCAGCAGTCGGTCCTGCAGGACTTCCAACATTTTATATAAGAACAAATCATTAGCCGGTACAAATGTGTTCATGTAAACCTGAGAATATTGTGTAGGTACTCCATACATGTTCTCCTTTTATTAATTCCTCAGAATGGTGATTGTTTTGATTGTTTAAATGGATAATGATATTACTGCTCTATAGTAATACATGTAAACAGACAAATAAAAAGAATAATATGAGGAATCAGACAGAGATTTCCTCTTTTACCCTCATAGGTCTATCAGACCATCCACTGACCACGAATGCACTTTTTAGGCTTTTCTTTCTGATCTATCTGATGACTCTTATCACAAACTTTCTTATATTTTTCTTGGTTCTCACTGACTACCATCTTCACAACCCAATGTATTTTTTTCTTGCCAACTTGGCATCTCTGGACATGTCCTATTCATCAGTGACCGCACCGAGGATGCTCTATGACTTGGTCACAAAAAGCCGATCAATATCCATTCCTGCCTGTATAGCCCAAGTCTTTTTCTATATCTCCTTTGCTGGCTCAGAATCATTCTTACTCTCGGCTATGTCCTACAACCGCTACATTGCCATCTGCCGCCCCCTACATTACAAACTAATGATGTCTTGGAGCGTCTGTGCTCGTATGGCCTCCATGGCCTGGGTTGTAGGATGTTCTCTCTCTTTGGTTTATACTTTACTTTTGCTCAGGTTGTCCTTCTGCAGAACAACTTCCATCCACAACTTCTTTTGTGACCTTCCACACTTATATCAGATTACATATACTGACCCTTTCGTAAACATGGTGGTCTTATTCTTAGCAAGTGCTACTTTTGGATTAGGAATCATTCTTTTGACCTTTCTCCCCTATGTCTATATTCTTAGTACCATCCTCAGAATCCATAGTAAGACTGGAAAGAGGAAAGCATTCTCCACATGCACATCGCATATTACGGTTGTCTTCATCTTTTATGGCTCCTTAATTTTTATTTACTTGGTTCCATCTTCCAGCAATATGTTTATTTTAAACAAACTGTTTACAGTCATATCTGCCCTCATTAACCCATTGCTGAATCCTCTGATCTACAGCCTGAGGAACAAAGATCTCATGGAGGCGCTTAAGAGGTCTTATTATCACTTAAAATTAATTCATGTTTGCTGCTGAAACTAAAATTTTAACATTTTAAACTTTTATATTTCTGGAAAATGTTTAGATGACTAAAAATTTTGGAAATGTCTTTCACAAATAGTAAAAATGGAATTTGCTCTTTGTTGTACCTAACATATTCATGACCAATGATCATTGTCATTTTGATGCCCTGGCCACATTCTTTTTTTAACTTTTTGTGTTTAACTTCTTTTTTTATTAATTTCAAATACATTAAATGCCAAAAATACTTATACAGGGAAACATTAAATAAAAACTTGACATGACACATGAAGGAGGACATACAAGAAGGTGCATTTTCAAGAACCCCCAAACTCTTTTTCATAACGACACTTTTATTTCCCCTTTAAAATGGAACAAAAAAAAGGAAGATAACTCCTAGTTTCAAAATACTATTTGGTCCAACTAGGTTTATCCAGGAGAGTTCGTAGATCCACCAGGCCTTTTATTTCCAACCTACCTCTTCCTTTCCCCCAACCCAATCATCTCTCATCCTCTACCTACGTTCGTGTTTTGTGACTTTACAAAATAATCCCAATCGTGACTTTTTTTTTTTTTCCTTTTCCCCCTTTCTTTTTTTTCCTCCATCTTTATAGTGTCACCCCTCCCCCCTCCTTCAAAAAGGCCACATTCTATGGATTCAAGATCTGTTGGTTAACCTCATGATAACTATCTGACTAATTTACCTACCAAAATATTTTTTACATGTTTTATAAACATATAAGGCTTTTAACTAACATACAGTTTTATAAAAACTTCATAAAAGTTGAGAAATGTACAATAGTATAAAAAATGCAGTTTTAGTATAATTCATGCTTAAATGATTTCACGTAATTAATGCTCTTCCAAATATTTTCACCAAATTGTTCATGTTTTTATACATGTATCGAAGTCGTATGGTCAATAAACAAGTGTGTACATTTTAGGCATTCTTCATTTTCCACTGGAATGGCAGGAAGGATGGTAATGAATAAACGTGTGTACTGAGCGTCCAATCTGTGGATAGTGGGAATGTCCCTTTAAGAGAATTTCACAGATTTATAAAGTTTTGATACCATTTAGTGTGAGCAGAGAGTACTTATTCCACCATCAAATATAAGATGCTCCTGGTGGTAATGAGGGGAAGATAAGATTTTTTTTTTCCTCTATGGACAATTCAACTGACTTTTCTGGGGCATTGTTCTATTGAGGGCATTATTTTATTGAATCCCAGCGATGGCGCTATATTCAATTTAAATGGTCAATAAATCATAGTTTTGTTACATTTTCAGTCAATTTAACAAACATTTGACAACTCCAAACAAAAGGTGTTTTTATTTTGGATGGATCGAGTTATATCCGCTCTCAAATTTTGGGTTGATTTCCAAAATGTGTTATTGATTGAAGAAGCACATTTATTTCATGTATCCAAATGGCTCTGAATTATAAAAGAAGAATTTCCATTTCACAGAATTGAATGACTGAAGTAAATTTCCACTGTCCATTGTCTTCCACTGTGTGCCGCCCAAGTTCTATAGCAGACCCTTTGAGTGTGGTATGGATTTTAAGGGGAAACCCAATGCAAAATTTTAGGGAAAAAAAAGAATGAAATCCCCCCAAAATCTCTAGTAGACCCTTATTAGAGCATGCAGCATGGCTGGCCAGGAATGACGGGGTGAACTCACCTCTTGAACCAAACTAGATCACATGCCCTCAACATGGGCAGGGTACCTTTTAAGGCTTTTAAGCCTGGTGTTTAAGGGGGACCGTGGGCAGGGGGTTTACCAGATTTTTGGAACCCTCCTTAAAAATACAGGTGACCTAGATACTGGATACCCCCATGTGAATGTGTAAGGGGTACATAATAAAAAAAAAGTAAATAAACACACTTGTAAAAAATTAATACAAAAACTGAAATGTCATACAATGTAAATCCCTTGATGATCACATTGTCCAGAAATGCAGATCCTCGTTCATTGCGAATGACTTCAGCCAAGAGACCCCGCTCCTTTGCTTACATTTAGCAGAAGGGACCAGGAGCTGTCATTAGCTGAAAATTGGTAACTGGGTTAGATGTACTGGTGGGTCTGTGAATTTGTTCTTTCAACGCGTCAACGGGTTGACAGGAGTTGTTCAACATGATTGACTAAGATCTGCATCTATGAACAATGAGATTGAAGTAAATGTCCTCTGTCTATTGTCTTCCACTGTGTACCACCCAATTTCTATATCAGACCCTTTGAGTGTGGTATGGATTTTAACCTCCCTAGCGGTATGATTCTTTCCAATTTTTGGTGCTGAAAGCAGTACCATTATTTTGCATGGAAATATGTAGTTTTTTTATTGTAGGCTGTAATTTTTAGGAATAACTCACTGAAATCTGTCTGAACAAGATTCTAAATCATACATTTAATTCAATAATATAATCAAACCAAAAACACTGAAATTTGAAATAGAGCGCCAAGTTCGCACATCGCTTAGCAAAGTCGCAAAATTGTTTTCAGTGTCTGATGACGAATTTCCCCCATGAATCATTATCACTCAATTCTGCAAGTGGTCCTGATTTACTATCGCTGTTCTCTAGCTGATCTAAACCCACTTTTGACCTAAAGGGACACTTTTTGGATGCCATGGACTTTTCTACGTTTCCAGGCAGAAAGAACAATCAAAATGCAGACAGGGGACAGGACAAAATGCACAGGACAAAATGTATGTGAAATGGGTTGAAACAGCAATGTTTTACTATGTAGAATCGTTTTGAAAAAAATGAAATTTTTTTTAAACTTTCAAATTTCCCGCCGCCACCGGCAGCGCCCGTACGTCCCGACCTGGGACCGGAACACAGGAGCCGGATGCCGGCATCAGACGGAGGAGATGGCCAGGGACGCTGCAGGGGACACATCGCGGGAGCCAAGGACAAGGTAAGTGCTGCAGGGACTCCCTATGCAGTGCTGCATGGTAAGCCCGAGTGTAGCTCGGGGTTACCGCTTTTGGTATAGACATTTTACCCCGAGCTACACTCGGGAATACCGCCAGGGAGGTTAAGGGGGAACCCAATGCAAAATTTTAGGGGAAAAAAAGGATGAAATCCTCCAAAAATCTCTAGTAGACCCTTATTATAGCATGCAGCATGGCTGGCCAGGAAAGAGGGGGTGAACCCACCTCTTGAATCAAACCAGGTCACATGCCCTCAACATGGGGAAGGTACATTGTAAGGCTTACCGCCCAGAAAAGCACCTTGTCTCATGCTGATGAGATAAAGGGCCTGTTTCCCACAACCCTAGCCTGGTTTTTGAGGGGACCATGGGCAGGGGGTTTACCAGAATTTTGTTACCCTCCTTAAAAATACAGGTGACCTAGATACTGGATACCCCCCATGTGAATGTGTAAGGGGTACGTAATAAAAATAAATAAATAAATAAAAAAACTACAATGTAAATCCCTTGACGGTCACATTGTCCAGCAATGCAGATCCTCGTTCATTGTGAATGACTTC